CCCCCCTTTGAATGGGGGGGCGGGGGGGCCTTAAAGGGCAGACATGTAGGTATTCGAGGCAGACGATGATGCATAGGAAGACCAGGGCATTTGGATACGACGGCAGGCATTGGCATCGGTGGAGCCGACGGCAGGCATTGGCATCGGTGGAGCTTTGCAAAGGGAGACGGCGCCCTGTCATTAGGTGGGGGTCTGTTATGGGGGCGTCTTGCCTCCGAGTCGAAGTGAATGAGAACCTTTGTGTGGTTCAAGCTGTTCCAGTGACCGTTGTTGTCTTGTGCGGCAACTTGTGGCTCGAGAAAATTGTGGATATATGATCAGTCGCCCGTCAAAATACGCCGGAAGTAGCTCCGTTGACAATAGAGACACGTAGCGAAACAGAGACACGTTAAGCGTTCGTGCATCCATAGACAAACACTCATGTGTGAGTAAATAACACGCAATACGACACAGTGAAAACCAAGGGGGGGGAGGAAGACACAATGCCAATTCGCGCTGCTGCAGTTCACTCGCCGCGAGCTCCGCCAAAGCTCGCCGCCATCCTCTTCGATCTTCAGGGCCCCAACCACCATCATGGGGCCACCGCCCGTCGTTCGTCCATCTGCACGAAGTCCACGATGGATTCGTACATTCGTCTATGTCTGGTCGTCGTTTATTTGGTCACCTGCCTCCCCCCTCATTGGTGTGCGTGTCCCATTGACCAATGGCCGCAGGAGAAGCTGCCACTCGGCGAGTACTCATTCGAAGAAAGCGAGGAGGGCCTCGCATGGAATCTGTAAGCCACCATCCTGCGGCGAATGAGTGAATCCACACGTTCATTTACGCCATGGGTGGTGTTTCTGTGGCAGGAAGGGAGAAGTGAGCGGTATCAAGCTGGAAAATGGCAAGGCTGTGATATCGACGTCCAAGAAGCATGCTTACATGGACCTCAATTTTGGCGCTGCTGGGATGCCCGACGTCAGACGAGCAGCCCTCGCCGCAACCATCGATCTCTCCCAGCTTCAGCTGCCTCAAGTGCCTGCCAGTCCCAAATGGAACCCAGATATCAGGCAAACCAGTCAATGGGGACACAATTCGTTCATATCTTTTTGCGGTCTGCCTCCGTCATATGCCTTCCAGGGGCAATGGCTTCGAGCTGCTAAAGATGCATGGCCTGCCCGATAACGGTCGTGTAGTGAGCCTCGTCCCCTATCGCAAGGCAGACGGGCTCGCAATGATGTTCACACATAACAGTGAGGATGGCCACATCAAGGCCGAAGACAAGCCCTTCGCGGTGCCCAACGACGGACAGCCACACGAATACATCATTGGGTTTCCAATGAAGGGCAAAGACGGCGATGGGGATGTCTTCGTGTGCGTCGACGGAGAATTGAAGTTTCAGGCAGCCCTTGCAGACCTGAAGCTCACCACAACCGATGTCACAGTAGTCCGCCTGGGGTAAGCATGTCGTTGTATCGATCAGACGTTGATGGACACGCACCTGTGTGATTTATGTGTCTCTCTGCAGCTTCGTGGCGTGGGGTGATAATGTGGGCGGCTCTCTCCTCATCGACAAGGTGCTCATGTACGTCCCCTCCCTGCCTGACGTCTACGTGGACGAGAAGACAGGAGCCGACACCAATGACGGGGCCACTCCTGAGACGGCCCTAGCCTCGGTCGTCCGTGCAGCTGAGGTGGCGCGGCCGGGGACAACAGTGCACATTGCAGAGGGCATCTACCGAGGAGCCTTGAAGTTGAGAAGCGACGGCAGGGCGGGCCAGCCGATCAAATTCGTCGGCAAAGGCAGCGACAAGACGGCCATCGTCGGCTCGATCCGCGCCGACTCACTGACCTGGACTCAGCATAAGGACAAGATCTACAAGGCTGACGTGACGAAGCTGAAAGATGGGTCGGGTTATGTGGGCACTTGGAGCCTCGCGAAGGCCCCCCGCTACGTGTGCAAGTCCAAAGCGCCGGGCGACTGTACTAAGAAATACCACCTCGCACGTAGCCCTAACTAGAAACCTCCTGACGAGCCTGAGGAGTACAAATATATGAAGGTAAGAGCATGCATTTTCTCTGGCTTCCCACGCGTTGCATTATCTTGTTTGTCTCTCAGCATTGGTACATGGCTGGTGAGTCAGCACAGAAAAGTCCATGGCTGTTGGCCATTTGGTGTCTCCCCCTCTTCTTTCTGTTGGCCAGACGGAGGGAGTGGCGTCCCCGACTGCACGCCTGGGGCCGAAGCGAAGGAATGCGACAAGGCCAACTGGTCGCTGAACACTCTCACCGATGTGGGCCATTTTCCTGATACGGGGGAACCCCAACCAGACCTCACACTAAAGACACTGCCGGATCTGGTCGGGGCAACCGTCACCATCAATGATGGTGACAAACAAACCAAAACTCACAGCAAAGCACGGGTATTATGCTCCATCTATCGCGTTCTTAGGGGAGAGTGGCTTCTGGACGGCAAACTTCCCCGTGAAAACGCACAACAAGGCCGCAGGAAAGATAACGATCGGTATGCGTGCATACATAGCCGCAGCGAGGGAGAGACACACGTGTCCTGGCACTCCCTTCTTGTATCACTTGCCTCTTTCCGTGTCTCGGTCCTTTCCCTTTAGAGGGCGAGTTCTACGCCTTAACCCGTGACCACAAAGGAATACGGGCCTACTCCCACTATTTCGTACAGAACAAACTGTCGCTGCTTGACAGCGCAGAAGAGGTCAACAGAGACACACGAACAGATTTACACTGTCTGCCCAAACATGTCTCGCCCTCTTCAGTATTGGTTTGATGAGGCAACGAGCACCCTCTACGTGTGGAAAAATGACGACGCACAATGGAGCGACATTGAGATCTCGACAGACGCAGAGGACCAAAAGGTGGCCCTCGACATCACCGGCAAGTCGCACTGGGAGCTCAGCGGCATCACATTTTCTTTCTTCCACACCATCCTGCACGAGAGCTATCGCCCCAATACGCCATCGGAGTTCGTCAAGATCGACAATTGTCACTTCCACACAGCGGTGTACGGCCTGCGGCTCCTCCGCGCGGGCGACCCGACGAAGCCTTTGAAGCAGACAAGATTCTGGACTGTGACCAACAATGGTGAGCGAGGCAGATGAAAGACGAATAGAGACTTCGTTTGTGTGATTCACTGTTCCCCGTTTGTGCAGAATGGTCGCACATTGACGAGACGGCAGTTTTTTCAAAGCCTTTAGCAGAAATGGGCGCGCCAGGAAGAGACCCCAAAACCGGTAAGGGCTTATTCGGGAACACATATAGACAGATAGTGAAAGCATCGATCCCTCTGCGCTGTCAGGCGTCAGTGTCATCAGAGACCTCTATTTCGCAAACAATCACTTCCACCACATCGGGTTCGCATTCGAGAACCCCTACTTTGCCGGCCGTCACGCGCCGGCCGCAGTGTCCTTCGCATCGGCGACAAATATCACATTCATCCACAACAACATCGAAGTGAGCCATGGCATGCGAGCAGCCACACCAGGCAAAAGGGCAGTCATCGATATCGAATTCTCCTGTCCATACATCAGATAGTGGGGGGCTATGCAGCCCAGATGCGATATGGCCAGCATGCCGCAGACGCGTTTGTATATCCCGACATCCAGCCGTCTGCATACGGTGATAACTTGATGGCACGCAACACGTTCCAGCGAGCCTGCGAGATGAAGGCGGACTGCGGGACTGTCTCGATCTCTGGGAGACCGCCATTCGGCAACCTCTTTTCGTACGTAGGATGGGAAACACACTTACACAGGCTGGCTCGCTGGCTGGCTGCATCACCCTTTCGTGGCCGTTTGTTTGTTGCTGTTTTTGTAGGAGAATGTAAGCAAAACCGTCCATGGTTCACCACTGTGTCGGGCCGTCCGTCCATTTTCGTACGTGTTGTGTGTAGGTGATCAGCAACACTTTCGGATGGACGGGCGCTGGCCACCATGGCCGGAACATGGGCGGGGCGGGAAGCGGAATCTATCAAGAATACATCTACGGGGTTCGTGGGGGACGGACACGTCTCCGCCACAAACTGTCGTCGTCTCTATTGCTTTTGTCTCTGTGAATTTATCACATGCTGTGTCTTTGCAGGGAGTGTTCCTGAGGAACGTGATCTTCAATATGGAAGGTGCGTGTTGATTACATATCTGTGACGGACGGTGCATTCATTGTGCGTGTCTGCCCTTTCTGTATCTGTCTTTGCCTGTTCAGAGAAGGGCGTGACATGGCACGGCAATGAAGAACATGTACAGTAACAGGGCCGATATATGTGCAAGAGATGCGCAAGGTCTCAACTCCTGCTGTTTATCTGTGCTTTGACTGACAGGACACCGAGTTCTTCTTTCTCAACAACCTGGTGCGACACGGTGCATCACTTTGGATACCTTCACTCTGTCCCCGCTGTGTGACAGGTCGCCCGTGCCGGCAAATGCGCCCGGTCACGGGAGCGCCACCTCAAGCAGCCGCTCTCCATCACCATTCAGAATGACCTCTTCGTCGACTGCGACATCGGCATCAACCTCGCCGCGCCCTCTGGAGGGACATTCCCCCGGGAATATTATGACGTTGACTACAATCTCTACATGCTCATGGACCCCGACGCGCAGATCGTGAGAGTGGGTCATAAGCCGGGGACCGAGACCTTCGAGAGCCTGGCTGCACTCCGGGAGGGGGAGAGCGGCCGATGGATTGAGGGATGGGAGACACACGGAAGCGACACGGTGGAGGTGGGGGTGGGCTACAAGGCGGCGAAGCTGCCCCCACGGACAGGGCTGAATGACAGAAGGTTTCGCACATACGATCCAGGTAAGTAAGTTGCCGCGTGTGCTGCGCCATGTTGATGTCGCAGCCATCTGTGCGGTCAGCTTGGTTCGCGCCGACGTCAGCTCAGCTGGATGCATCGAATCCATCCTTCCCTGGCGAGGTGGAGCGCCTCCTGAGACATTTTGACATCTGCATACCGCTAGCACAGGAGCACTCGGTAAGACAGACACACGCCACCTACCCAGCCATGCTCCGTGGCTCACACCTGCACCCACTGATTCATTCTACGTGTGCAGAACCTTCCGATCGGCCCTCACTCAGACGGAGCCAAGTGCTTCAAGGTACCCTCCATCACTCTGTAGATGTTTGTGTCTCTTCTCGTATCGGGTCGGTGCGTGTCCCAGGGGATCGGCTCGCTTGACGGTGGGCTGACAGTGCCGACGTCTCTTCCAGCAGCCGGCGGCGGAGATACGCCGCCCATTGGCCCCTACGATGGTAATCCGACAAATGGCGATGGTGATACGACTAATGGCGATGGTGATGATACTGTGGACCAACTCGACTCAGCGGCGAGGCGAAGTGTCGTGGGCGCAATTGTGCCACTTCTGCTGGCCCTTGGCCTCTATGGTTAGCTAGGACGGATGTGTGTCTCTCTGGCTGGTTTGGTTGTGTACGTTTCTTCCTGTATAAGGCGAGGAAGCAATTGGAGTGTATGGGTGTGAGGCGAGCGACTTTTAAGACCTGCTTCTCTCTTTCGATGGCGAGTCTGTGGCTCTTTCTTGGCTGTAGTTTTCGGTCCAATTATGGATTCTGGACACTCAGGTCTGAGCTAGGTCAACTATTGATGGGTCTGTCAACCAATGGCTGCATGCTCTCCCCCTCTCTCTGCACCCACTCCATCCATCCATCTCCAGCTGGTGCGAGACGCACAGTCACGGGCACTGTCTGGAAGTGCAAAAAGGGAAATTACCTGGCTAACTCACACATGCCCTCCGCTCCCTCCCCCTTGCATGCACTCATCAGCCCTCCTCCTTCATGGCAGGGAGCGGATAGCGCCACTCTGCAGTGGGCTCTTCGCTGCATGACATGAAGGACGATGAATGCCAAGCTCATGCCTGGGGGGGAACACGCGCTGCGAAAAAGATCGATGCGCTATCACATGGTCTGTTGAATGAATTACCCGTTGTCCATCAGCCAGCCCCTTGCTCATTGTCTGTCCTCCTCTCGCCCCTCGGTCATCCAGTCAGTCGTGTCAAGACAAGAGCCAACCGCCCAGCCAGCCAGGCAGCTAGAGATACAATACGCCACACATACAAGAAATGACGCCCTCACTCATTCCCTCACGCCCCTAAACACTTGATGGCAAAGAGGCTACCGTTGGGAGCACGCACGCACGCATGCCACGCGTCAACGCATCGCATCGCATCGCACCCCTCTCTCTCTCGGCAGGGGAGAGAAGAGGGATACAGAAAAAGAGGCAGACATACACGCATTGCGCTCATCCATGTAGGTGTGCAGTGTGTATGGTCGTGCTGTCAGCGCATATATCAGAGCAGCAGCCATGGCCGGCCATTCATGCGGTGCATCCATAGAGTAAGTCAATCTACACCCTCTCTCTGCAGCATCCATCGGCCGGACGCCCATCCAACGGGAAAAATAGAGGGAGAAAAGCGTCACACACAAACAGGCACACAGGCACACATTCACCCTCACACCGACACCCACACCCACACACGGACGCACCGACATACACACGCGGACGCATTCCCCTTGGTCCCTCCCTCCCTCTCACACGCCGCCCCCCGCCGACCTTCAGTGCTTGTCCTCCCTGCTGTGTTTCTTGTGGACGTCGAAGCTCTCGTCCATCTCGGGACTCAGCACAGCGGGGGCCCACTTCTTGCCAATCAGATGCATGTCGAAGTGCGGCATGTGCAGATGCGACTGGTGGCCCGCCTCACCCGCACCCGCCGCACCCGCAGCTGCCGCCCCCTCACCGGCACCGCCCCCAGCCGTCGAAGGCAGGCTCTTCTGCGACTCGCCTCCCTCGATGGCCCCCTTGATGTCGTCGTGGTGGTCGTGGGCGCCCGTGTCGTGGGACACGGCGCGGGATCGCCAGTTGGGCACGGGCACGTGCAGCGAGTAGGAACCCAAATGCAGGTGCCACGTCTGAACCAACCGACCACACACACCACACAAAGCATTGTGATGAAGGTGCCAACCGACTGAAAGAAAGTGTGTGTGGTGCTCGGTGCATGGTGGCGTCTCACCTTGGGCGTCTCCTGGGTGGTGGTTGGGTGCGATCCAGCGGAAGGCGTGGTGGTCGATGCGGTGGTCGTCACAGACGCACCCAAGTTCGTGTCCGAGGCCGAACGCTGGCGAGCTGCACACATCACATCACAACACATCACAACACATCACGACACCAGCCAGGACAACGCAAGATGAAACCCGCCAGTGCACACAGCCAGCGGAAACGAGCCTGTCTGTGTCTCATCTGTGCTCACCTGGCTCAGTGGCCTTCGGCGAGGTGGTGCCTCCGAACCGACCCTTGACCATGTCCTTGACCGCTTTGAAGGCGTCCCAGAGGGGAGGTTGGCCAACGACGGGAGGCTCGGAGGGAGCGGCCTTCTGAGCAGCGTCGGACTGGCCTTCCTGAGCGGCCGGCTTCTCCTGCTGCCCTTCCTCCTTCTTCATGTACTCGCCAAGCGTGAAGTCCGTCATCGTCGCAGTATGGTGTCAAGTCCTACGCACTGAATGGCACTGAGAATCGAAGCAGAAGCTTCCAGAAACAGAAGGCAAAACGATCTGCAAGCTCAAAAGTAGGAGAGGACGGCAACATCACGCCAAAGCAACATCTCACCTTGCCATCCGTGGGATAGAAGTAAAAAAGGCGCAAAACGCGGCGTGAGGAGCTTGTGGAGCGCGCAGCCATGACGTCCACAAGCTCGAAGCTCGACTATCTGAAGAAGTACATGTCCAAATCATCATCCGTCGCAGACGGCACAGCGGACGTCATAGCATCAGCCAAGAAGAAGAAAAAGAAGCGGCCGAAGGAGGACCCTTCCTCGGCCTTCCTCACCATTCGCGACGAGACAGCGGACCTCCCGGCGCCAAAGGCCAAGAAGGCACGCCGCCTGCCGCTTCCGGACGACCTCCCCGACACCTCCAATCTCATCCACGAGGGAGATGAGGACGCTCCCGCACTCGCCGAAGACCACATTGACCCGGCGCTGCTCGCGGAGATCCGTCAGCGGGGTGGCGCGGACATCCCATTGGACGAGGAAGACGAGGGCGTGGCGCGGCGGTTCAAGCAGAGCCAGCAGGCCAGGAAGGAGCCGCCACCGCCCTCGGCTCAAGAGGAGCGCGCAGCCGCCATGGCGCAGCTGTTCCCTGGTGGCAGGAAGGCGGTCATTCACGAGGAGCCTTCTGTCAAGAAGGAGCGGGAATACCCCTTCCCCGTGCCGACCAAGGAGGAGCCAGATGACGATGACGACGACCTCTCCCCGCCCCGCAGACCACCGCCAGCACCATCGAGCGACCGTGATGGTGACCTCTCGCCACCGCGCCGGCCGCCCGCCGACCAGGACGGCGACCTGACCCCTCCCCGCCGACCAGTCGTCATCAAAACGGAGCCAGATGAGGAGGGCGACCTGTCGCCACCGAGGCGACCCATGGCGGCTGACAATGACGGCGATTTGTCGCCCCCACGGAAGCCGATGGAGGATGCGGATGGCGGTCTGACGCCCCCGCGACGTCAGATGGTGGATGATGAGGGCGACCTGGATTTGGAGCGGCCCGTGCAGGGAGGGGAGGGGGAAAACGAAGGCGAAGGCAGAGAACGGATGGCCGACGGGGCGGTGGCCGGGCTGGTCTCCGGGAGGGAGCTGAGGTGAGCATCGCGAGACCACTGCACTGCCTGTTCCATCGTCGCCACATTCGAACATGCCTTTCTCTGCTCCGTGTTCGGTGTTTGTGTGTCAGGGAGGAGGCGGAGAAGCTGCGGCAGCGTCAGGAGGCAGAGTTTGCGGCGGCTGATGCCGAGGCGCTGGGCAAGGGTGCGGCGGTGCGGTACCGCGACAAGGAGGGGCGGGAGATCGGTCAGAAGGAGTGGGAAAAACTCAACCAAAAGAAGAAGAAACGACCCCGAGAGCCCGCACAGGTACGACAGACAGCCGCACCACAACTGTCATCACATGCATCCCTCCACCCATGGGCCATGGGCCACTCCTCTATGCGTGTCTGTCTGTCTGTGTGTCAGCATCTGGAGTGGGGCGCTGGTTTGGTTCAGAGGGACGAGAAGAAGCGCACTGAGGAGGAGGAACGCGTCCTCGGCCAGCAGCCCCTCGCAAGGTGACTTCACTCACTCACGTGCACCCACACGTAGTCCATCGACACACTCAAATGGTTGCCTTGTTGGCCCAGGTATGAGATCGATTCGTCGTACGATGCCGTGCTGAGGGAGCGTGAGCGGTGGGACGACCCACTCAGAGGCAAACTCGACAAAGCCGACAATGAAGACGACAACAAAGACACAACCACAAAGACACAGACAGGTCAGCATCAACCAACCAACACCGCTGAGAGACGCCCCATGGCCAGACATCCATCTGCTCTCTGTGCGTGTATGTACCCCACGTCTTGATCCATCCATCCATCCATCAGCGGTGAGGAAGGCCCGCCCCAAGTGTCGCTTCCCCGCGCCGCCCAACCGCTACGGCATATCGCCGGGCTACCGGTGGGACGGGGTGGTCAGGGGCAACGGATTCGAAGACAAATTCCTACAGGTAGGCTGGCTGAGGACACCAATGCATGAGTACACAGGACGGGCGACCATGAAAGAGAATGTCCGATGTGTATGTGTGTTGGTGGTGCAGGCCAAGAACCGTCGCAAGTGGGAGGCTGAGCAGGGGTACAAGTGGAGCATCGAGGAGATGTGACACAGAGGAGCGTGTGCGTGTGAACAAACTTGTGAGGGGGCGGTGACTGACACGACACCAGCTGGTCATTCGTAGCCAGCCAGGGAGGGGGTGAGGTGACTGATGTGTTTGTCGTCTCGTGAGTGACGTACGTATTAAACAACTCTGATATGTCAAACGCGTGATATCGTCTCATGAACATGAACCAACATGGTATCGTCCCTCACGTATGAGTGAATGAATGTACCACGAACTCGGAAAATCGTCCGCATCATCTCTTTAAGTCAGCAGGGCCTGCCAATAGGCAACCGCCCTCAAAAACCATCACACGCACCCGACGCCAACGTTGAAGACTACACGACCCTCTGCCCACCGTAGTGTGACGGCTTTGACTCCCTTTCATGACCTTCACCCGACTCGACGTATCGCCAGATGATCGGCAGCTGTAATGCCTCCCCATGTGGAGATTTGCCAGTCCAGGTGCAGATCACCGAACGGGACAGCAGACACTGTGTGACGAAGTACGCAACTGCTGGACCATCATCATGCACACATGTCCTTCCTCCCCTGCTGTGCCCCCAACCAACACGATCGACCCGGCGAAGGCAAGATGTCTGATAGCTTATGAATACCAGACATCGGGCCTTCAACAAGTCGACACTATGGCTGGCGACATCAACAGGTAGAAAAGACGACAAGACAATGAAAGAAAAGACCCCACTTGTCTCGACTGGCGACGACTGCTCTCTGCCTCTCTGAGGTGACCATTTGGACCTCTCGCACGCAGCGCAGCGCAGCGCAGCGCAGCACAGCAGACAAGGGAACCATACCACACCCACTCTGGTCACAGCCACTCTCTCTTAAACACGCGACAACCATAAGCCAGGAATTAATTCAGCCCTTCAGTCAGTCGTCACCGACGGTCTGCCACTCCCACAGGTAGTCGTACGGCCGTGCGGTGCTGACGGTCTCGCCGAAGAAGTGCAGCTGGTCCCGCGTGTCGAGCACCACGCTGTGCCGCACACCGGCCGACACATCCTCTACCACGATGCCCTCCTCTCCGAAGTCATTCAACCTGCAGACCACACGACTCACACGTGTGTGTGTGTCGGTGTGTGTCTATTCCCTCTGGTCGCCTCGCCTACTCGGTGAATTCTCTGATGATTTTGGTCTTGTCGAATCTGAGCCCCAACTGTCGGTCCGAGTTGCTCCCCGCCACCAGCACCCGCCGGTCCTTGAGCAGCAGGATCGTGTGGGACGAACCACACCGCACCTTGCACACACAGAAGACGCCCTCCAGACGGCCACGGTCGCTCTGACTCGACAGCAGCCGCTCCCTGCCAGTGCCCTCAGACTGGGCCTGGGCCTGCTGCTCATCGGGCGGGGCAGATGATGCTGCTGCAGCTGGCGATGCCGGCAGGGGGTTTGGTGGTGGTGCTGCTGCAGGGGTGTCTGGTTGTGTGTCCATCTCTGGGTGTGGGGAGGTGGTGGGTGAGAGGGGTGCGAGTCGTGTGGGGGCGGGGGTGGAAGGCTCCATGGCGGAGGGAGGGGGGACCTGACGGGGCGTCAGGCAGTCGGCAGGGCTGGGGTCGCCTGATGTAGACAGACAGATGGACAGACAGACAGACAGACAGACAGATGGGAAGAATGTGCGTGTATCTGCCTGTCGGTGTGAGTGTCTCTTCCTTTACTTACCCAGCTGTCCCTCCCTGGATTTGCCCCACATGAAGAGGCGGCCGTCGACCGTTATGGCGGCAGCGTGCTCCTCACCTGTGCATACAACAACAACACACATGCAACGCATCGCATCGCATCGCCGTCGCCTCAGTCAGTGTATCCCTCCCTTCCCATGTCTGTTCATCCCTCACCTGCAGCCACTTGCACGACGGTCTCTCTCTGCAGAGCGGCGATGGGCTTGGGGGTCTCCTCAAAGTCCTTGCTCCCGTGGCCCGTCTTGCCGTGAGACCCGCGACCCCACGAATACACCTGATTGACAGGCATCACACCACACCAGGTACACAGCGCCCAATGCACATGCAGGCGGCATTCATTGTTGCGTACCTACCTTGCCGTTGGTGGTGACCATGAGGTTGAATCCTCCGCCCGCGTCGATCTGTGCGGCGGGCGGCGATGGGATGCGGACGGGGTGGGCGACGGCCTTGCGGAGCCAGAGACCGAAACCCCACAGGTCGCCGTGCTCGCCCATGACCAACGTGTGGTGGGTGCCGCATGCCACAGCACGCACCTGAAGTTAACCGCACAAAGAGGCACATACAATGCAATTGTCTCTCCGTTTCCATTCCCCTGCCTGGCCTCACTGACCTTGACGTTGAGTGGGAAGTCCACTCGACACGGGGTGAGCCGCATGGTCCGATCGTCAGTGCCCCTCCTCACCTCACCCCGCTGCTCACCCACCCTTGCACTGCTGCCCATGTCACCAGCTGCAGAGTACCCAAACAGGTTGGGGATGCCGCCACTGTTCAGGTCCTCCCGGCTGCTGCCCATGGACACGGTCCGTCGTGCGATGGCCATGCCCAGCTGTCCCTGCCGGTTGAGGCCGAAGGTGTAGAGCTGCCCGTCGCGGGTGGCGACGGCGCTGTGGGAGGAGCCGCACCCGATGGACGCCACAGGGAGGGAGTGGAAGTACGTCACCTCCTTGCACTCGGCACGGGGCTGCGTATCCCCTGCAGACCAACCGAGACAGGCAAACAAACAACAACAGGGGACAGGAGAAGATGATGGGACGGGGGCGTGCTCACGCTCTTTTCTCCCTGTATGTATGTATGTTTATGTGCGTACCGAGTCCCAGCTGTCCGGATGGCTGCAGCCCGACGCCCAACACCTGCCGGCTCTTGTCGCGCAGGTGCAGGGTGTGCGCCTCACCAGTCTCCACCCTGTGCGGCTCCCGTAGCCTCTCCATCACCAGCAGCGCCCTCACATAGCCCTCACTTCGCACCAGGGCGTCCAGCCGCTGCTCATCCACACCCCAGCCGAGCAGGATCTGTGTCACAGCCAAGGGGACTATCGAGCGGCACCACTCGCGGCCGCAGGTGGCGATGGCGGCCACCCATGAGGCCGGCAGGTGGCTGCAGAGAAGCAGCAGCACCGGCTGGGGGATCTCGTGCAGCGAGTGGGCGACGGTTGGCGAGGGAAGGTTGCTGGAGGTTCTGAGTCTCTGAAGGGCTCGCGACGGAGCAGGGCTGCGCCTGTAGGTCCCGTCAGACACCAGAACCATCCTCTTTTCACCCCACAGGCTAAGCTCGCTGACGGTGTGCGAGCTGAGGTCCGAGTCTCTGCAGAGTAGCACACGTCAGCGAGCGTAGAAGGCGTAGCGTCATCAGATCTGTGTGTTGCTATGAATCAACCGCTTTGATGAGTTTCCGCCGCCCTGCTGTCTTCGCCTTTCCCAGGCGCCGATTCATCTCAGGCCGCACTGGCGTGGCACTGCTGTCAACAGCCGCAGCCACAGGCCTACTCATACCAGAGGAAACATGGAACAAACGACTGGTGATGTGACTTCGCACTGCTGTATTCCACGAAGGCACCACCCAGGCAGGCAGATCTTGCATGATTTCGGTGTGTTTGTGAGTGCAGGATGATCTCATTCGCTGGCGCACCATCGTCGAGGACCGCCTGGGCGATCTGAGGAGTGCGCAGGGCTTCTCGCGCTTTATTCGGTCGAGCTACAATGCGGCCATCGTAGCGTGGGACTACAAATCATCGCTGCGGGGGCTGGACGAGCACAGCGATGAGTACAAGCGGATACAGAAGGACTGCCACCTGAGGGCCGCCAAAAGGTGGCCAAATGCATGAGCAGTTGCCAGTAGAAAGAGAGTCTGCTCTTCTTCCTGATGAGATGAGTGTGCGTGTTCGGTTGTTCATTGGGTGAGTGCAGGCTTCTGTCTGTTTGTCGTGCGCATGGCGGCTTGTACAACAAATTCGGTATGCCGGACTAACTGACTGATGAAACGACTCTTCGCTCCTGTTTATGTGACATTGGCTTATGTGATCCCATGCAGGCCAATACATCGCCACACTCAACCACAGTAAGCAGCCAGCCAGCCAGGCAGGCAGCAACAGTGAACCAGAAGCACCTTGTGTCGTTCCTTCCGTGCAGTATTGCCCGACGAGTACGTGACGACCCTGTCAGTTCTGCACGACAAGGCACAGCATCTGCCCTGGAATGATATTGAAAAAGTCATTCGACAAGACTTGGGTGAGACGAGACGGGGGGGAAGAAGAGCTCACGCGCACAGATACGGATCATGCTCTCCTTGGTCAATCCATTTCATGCAGGTGGTTCGTTCGAGGAGCACTTCGCCGCTTTTGAGGAGGAGCCCATCGCTGCGGCGTCGCTGGCGCAGGTGCACAGGGCGGTGCGGCGGAGCGACCTACAGGAGGTGGCAGTGAAGCTGCAGTACCCCGGGTTGCGGGCTCAGGTCAAGGGCGATACGCTGACCATGAAGGTAGGTGGGGTGAGGTGAGGGAGGAAAGATGAGCTGTCATGCTGTCAGCCAGGCACTTGTGTATATATATATATGATGGGATGGGTGTGGTGGTATGGACATGTGATGTTGGTTGTCATGTCAGGTGCTGCTGTGGTGTCTGGGTAAGGCCTTCCCGGCGTACGAGTACACCTGGCTGTTCCCCGAGTTCGAGCACAACATGCGGATGGAGCTGGACTTCGCGCAAGAGGGCTACAATGCCGACCGCCTCGCCAAGATGTTCGCACACAGGGAGGATGTGCACGTGCCAAAGGTGAGCGGGTGAGGTGAGCAAGAGGACCTCTCCGTGATGGCTCTCTGACGGTCGGTGCATACATACAGGTGGATTGGACTCTCACCACGCCTCGTGTGCTGACGATGGAGTTCATCAAGTGGGTGGACAATTCGTGAAATGAACGCACCGACCGAGCACGAATGCACCTGGCTGTCTTGCCTTCCTCCAGAGGTCTCAAAGTGACCGACAAGGATGCCCTTGAGAAGGCGGGCATTCACCCCAAGGACGTGGCTCACCTCGTCTGTGAAGTGTTCGGGCAAATGATGCACATACATGGATTCGTCCACTGCGATCCCCATCCAGGTCCGACCATAGAATACACACACAGACAGACAGACAGACAGACATGGACTAGTGTGTGTCCATCACTCGTTAATGTGTGTGCAGGCAACCTGATGGTGAGGCCGATGGGTGCCGACAGCTCAGGGGCTGCGGAAGGCTCCCCGCCGAAGGGCGTGCGGCCGCAACTTGTGGTCCTGGACCACGGCATGTACAGGTGAGCAGCATCGCCACACACACATATGGGAGGCGACGTGGGAGTCGCATTTTGTGTGTCGGTGTGTGTGAATCTGCAGGCGGCTTGAGCCCTCGTTTCGGCACGCCTACAGCCGTCTGTGGAAGGCCCTCGTGATGCAGGACGAGCATGTGGGCCGACAGGCATGTGTCGACCTCAACCTTGACGAGGTACGTCGGGCACACGAAGACTGCACGTTGTCTGCAGACATGGATGAGCAATGGTGTGCGCCTCTTGCTGCTCTGCCGTGTGACTCACTCAGGATGCCTTCGACATGCTGTCGCTCATCCTCACCTTCAGGCCGACGAAATCAAAGTGAGCCGACGAAGACACGGGACGCGACACACAGTGGCTGATGTGTCACATACACACACATGCATACACATGGCTGCAGGTTCACAAAGCTGGGCCAGCGTATGCATGAGGAGGACAGGAAAGTGGTCAAGGAAAAGTTCAAGAAGACCACGGCCGAGGCCATCAACGACTTCCTCAAATCACTCCCACGGGATATACTGTACATCTTCAGGGTGAGTGCTGCGGCAAGGCTCATGCACCAAGCCACATGCCCTGTTCCTGGATGGATGGATGGATGGAATGCAGACGACCAATATAGTCCGGTCCCTCAATCTCGAGCTTGGCGGCACCTCACGAGATCGATTCCGCGTCATGGGGCAAAGCGCCATACAGGGCGAGCACACGGGCACACACCGAATACACACATCGACACTGAAAGACAGACGTCTCATGTGCT